CCCTTTCACAGGAGTCACCTAAGACCATCAGAAAACACATATTTCCAGTGATTTTAGGAACTGAGGCACCACTCCTCTATCTGTCTCCAGGTGGGTCCGCCCACATGCAGACAAGCCCACATACACGTACCCATGCAAGGACTGTCTTCCACACTACACCATGTTTCGAGACAAAGTTTCATTTATTTTTAATTAGAAATAAATATTTCACAATATATAATTACATATTATTTTGTGATTCATCATTATGCTTTAATTATGTTCAATTTGTAACAATGAAAATACATCCTACGTATCAGATATTTACATTACGATCCATAACAACAGCAAAACTATAGTTATGAAGTAGCAACGAAAATAATTTTGTGGTTGAGGGTCACCACAACATGAGGAACTATATTAAAGGTTCACAACATTAGGAAGGTGAAAGTTGGAGATTGAATAAGGAAGGCCCAAGAAAAACAAATGCATTTGAATTCTGGCGCTGAAGAAGAATATTGAAAATCCCACGGACTGCTAAAAACAAACTGATCTGTACTGGAAGAAATAAGGCCAGCGTGCTCCTCAGAGGCAAGGACGGCAAGACTTCATCTTCCATATTTTGGATATGTTGTCAGGAGAGAGCAGTCCAGGATAAGGATATCCTGTATGGTAATGTTGAAGGTCAATGAAAAAGAGAGATGCATAGACACAATGGTTGCACCACTAGCTCAGGTACAGGAACAATTTGTTCGGTTGTGCATAGGGTCGCTATGGGTCAGCGTTGACTCAATGACACCGAACAAGAACAACAGACACACAGATGTATCTATTTTCCACATAAGTATGTCTCAAATAGCTATTGTTAAATTTGGTAACCCGACATCTAGCCAGAGGCTTGTTTTCATAGAGTCCACAAGTAAAATGGAAAGAACAATAAACTGCCAAAGAACAAACCAATCTGTCTTGGAAGAAATACGACCAGGATGTTCTTTAGAATTGAAGATGGCAAGACTTCATCTCACCTCTTCTGGACATGTCATAGGAAGAGACCAATGTCTGGAAGAAAATATTTTTTTTTT